GCTTTGAGATTTTGGATAATATATATTTGAATGTAAATGATTGCTAATTTTTTTACTAAGCTAGCTTACAGAAAGTCTGGCATTTCAGATAATGAGGTCATAAAGCAGACCACTCACAGAGCAGGCACAGCTGCTATCTAAACCACAGGCACTTGAGTACTTTCCTACTGAGTGATAGCAAATATCTCAGGACAAAATAACAGTACCAAACCCCATACAACCTCCTGGAAAGATATGGATACATCTACCCCCTGACAGTTATGCTGTGATTGGCAGAAACTCCACCCTATGCTTGTTTATTTTTATTTTTTTTCTGTTATTTAATGTTTATTTATTTTTGAAAGAGAAAGAGAGAGACAGAGCATGAGTGGGGAAAGGGCAGAAAGAGACAGTGATACTGAATCTGAAGCAGGCTCCAGGCTCTGAGCTGTCAGCACAGAGCCCAATGTGGGCCACAGACCGTGAAATCATGACCTGAGGCAAAGTTGGACTTTTAAATGACTGAGTCACCCAGGTGCCCGTATGCTTGTTTTAGACTTCTGATAATGACTACTGTGCCACAGTAGTATATTTATTTATATATATAAATATAATAAGTGTCTTTTGAAATCTGATTTACTCTACGGACTGATTTATTCTTCATGTGATGAGTTTATCAGCAACTTGAGTCAAGTACATACCAGGACCAGAGGGTTTCCCACTAGTGCCCAGGTCTTCTATTTGGGCATGGAAAATCTCAGTATCTCGGACTAGAAAGATCTATAGAGACAGATCCCTGGTACATCCTTGGCCCCAGACTCTCACCACCTGCCTGTCCCCGGCCAGGTGGTCAGGACTGTGGCTCCTTTCCTCATTCAGCTCAGCTTCTATGTAGACTATTCAAAGAGTGCCATCTGCAGGATGAACTGAGGACCATAACTACTTCATTCATTTCCTTCAAATAAAGTTAAAGAATTTGTTTAAAACTCGTTCAAGCTCTAATAAACACAAAATTTAAGTTAAATGCTACTGACAGGTAATAGTTTGCTACATTAATTTTTCACAGCTATAATTTATATTTATTATTGCCTTAAATGTCTTTATGCTATCTACAGAATAGAAACATATCTGTTCCAGGCCTTTACACTGCCCTTCAACCTTTCCCTGTGGGTAACCATTTTCTCCACTTGCGTGCTTGCTCTTCACTGTAGAAGGGCAGATTCCCAGGAGCTGTAACAGATGCAACAGCTCTCTTTCTGCTTTGATTCAAGATAATTTTTTAATTAATTCTTTAATTTTTAGAGAATCGGTGCTTGAAATTTTGTTTCAAGTCAGCCTTAGTCAAAGAATCATAAAAATACAAAATTTAAAATAGCACTGGTGAAAAACGACCCCCCCACCCAGCCTCCTACACCACACTATTTGTGATGCCCTTCCTGACTAAATCTCATAATCAGCAATCCAAAAAACAAGAAACAAGAATTTCCATGCTTTGGCTTGATCTCTGACTCAAGAATTGTCCAATTTCTGGTTAAATCCACTCCTCCCCTCCCAATGGCCCTCACTTGATTGAGAACAGAAGCAAGGGAGAGAGAGAGAGAGAGAGAGAGAGAGAGAGAGAGAGAGAGAGAACACTCCCTTTCCTGTCTGGATCACCCCCTTTCCTGTCTGGATCACCCCCTTTCTCAGCACTTGTGTGTGATGATCATGTTGCACAGAACAAAGCAGGTCTGAGGCTTCTGACAGTCCATCTGCCTTTGCCATGGTCAAGTTGGTTTTCCTATGTGGACTACCAATTCCAGGATACTAGGCAGTTCCACTGCCCACTCCTTTCCTCAGAGTAGGGATGAGAAAACAAAATAGGATTTATTACAAGGCTATGAGATGCATCTCTAGAGACCTATTTACAGGGTAATAAGGCAACCTCATGGCCCCTTGCTTACATGCTCTCTTTGTTGTCTACATCTGTCCCCTTTCCAGAGGAAACATTTCTAAAAGCATGAGCCTTTTAGAAGGTATAACTCAGGACACATGAGTTGGTTAGCTGGTTAACCACATTAGTTGGTTAACTGTCTGACTCTTGGTATTGGCTCGGGTCATGATATCATGGTTCATGGGATGGAGCCCCATGTGCGGCTCTGCACTGACAGCATGGAACCTGCTTGGGATTCTCTCTATCCTTCTCTCTCTCTGGTTCTCTCTCTCTCTCTCTCAAAATAAATAGACCTTTTTAAAAAAGAGATATAACTCTCTCTCCTAAGAAAGACACAGTCTTATCTGAAAACAAGGACAGGGAGAAGTGGATTGAGCCTAGGAAAGGCTGTAATGTACTACATCAAATGGAATGACCACTGCAGCATCTCCTTCCCACTCCCCCTACTCTTGCTGTTTGTCCTGTACTTTTCATGAGCAAACTGGCACTTGGAAATGATTTTTACCCTCAGTTCCTATACTTCAATAAGGAAGGAGAGCAGTCAGTTAGGGTGAAAACATGACTCTGTAGTCAGATGTTTTAAATGCTAGCAGAGCCACTGACAAGCCAGATGACTTGGGGACACTGAGGAATTTTCTGAGCTTTAGTGTTGTCTTCTATAAAACAAGGCTAATCCTATGCATCATTCAGGATTGGTGAGAGCTAAAACATATAATGGAAGTGTAAGCTCTCAAAAATGTGTCCATTCTTTCTTTAGTATGAATTTAAGTGAGTGCGTCTCTACTAGTAATTGAAAGGCACTGTCCTTGTGAAAGGCTTATTATCAGGTATCAGCGAGAAGCTAGGGGAGCAATTGGTAGAAATGTTAAGAGTTTCAGTGGCAGCCAGTTGTAACAATGCACAAAAACAACACTTCCCTCAAGGGCCTATAACCAAGGCTGGCATTGCCTTTGAGGCTGCAGCAGAAAGAGGGCAAGGGGTGGGGGATGGCTGGGCCAGGGCTGTGGGTGGCTCTGGGGATATCCTTTCTAAGTGAGGAAGAGCTGAGCCAAAGGACAGACGAAAGGCAGAAACACCACACAACTATAGGATGGCTCTATTCCAATAGTTTGTCTCAGATACCACACTCCGCACTCAGCATACAGGGAGACCATGTGGCCCTCTCCCATCCTTTGCCCACTAACAGACAGCAGAGGCACCCAGGATGCCTGGCTACTCAGATGTTTTGGGACTGTGCTACATCCAGAGGAATATTTGGCTTGTGTCTATATTACATTGGCATAATCCAGCCCATTCTGCAGAAGGTCCTTGTATGGATGAAGCTTAGTTTTTTGCTTTTGTAGTGGTGGCAAAATAAATATAAAGTTTTTAAGTTCAGTGGCATTAAATAGATTCACATTGCTGTACAACCACCATCCATCTCCAGAACTCTTTATCTTGTAAAACTGAAACTTGATACTCATTAAATAATAACTCTCCATTCCTCCCTACCCCGCTCTAGCCCTGGCAACCATCATTCTACTTTCTCTGTGAATGTGTCTACTCCAGGTAATTCATATAAGTGGGCTCATACAGTATTGGTCCTTTGTGACTGACTTACTTCACCTAGCATAATGTCTTCAAGAGTCATTCATGTTGTAGCATGTATCAATTTCTTTCCTTTTTAAGGCTGAATAATATTCCATTGTGTATGGACCACATTTTGTTTATCCTTTCATCTGGATACTTGGGTTGCTTCTATCTTTTGGCTATTGTACATGATGCTGCTATGAACACTGGTATACAAGAATCTTTTCATATCCCTGCTCTTAATTCTTTTGAGTATAAATGTAGAAGTAGGATTACTGAATCATATGGTGACTTTATGCTTAATTTTTTGAGGAACTGCCATACAGAGACTATACCACTTTATATTCCCACCAACTGTGCACAAAGATGCTATCTAAGGCTTTCTTTATTGGATAGGTCGGCTCTAATCCATCTGTATTTCTGGCTTGAGGTCACTAGTGACTCAGTCTTTCTGGCACCTGCCAGGCCTCTCACTTTCCAGCACATACTTGCCACTTCCCCAGAGATGTGGCGCGCTCCCACCATTTTCCTGTCCTTTAGAAGATTCTTTCAGTTCTTGGCAGGGTCTCACCTTCCCCACCCACAGCTCACATGTGTCTGGGGCTGGTGGCCTCCTTGGGTGAGTGGTAGCACTCTGCACAATGCCCAGTGTGACACCCACACTGAGGACTGTCCACATGGTGGGATCAGAGCCAGCCCTGGTTAAAGCTGTCATGTGGCAAACCCTAGCTTTGTCATCCTCCCTTCTGCCCCATACGGATTCTCATCAGATGCCCCTTCCCTGCTTTAGTCCTCAGTCTTAGTTTCCACTGCAACTGATCACACTTGACAATATAAGTGGACAAGGTAGTATTTCATCTTGAAGATGAAGATGTTCAGAATCCATCGGAGATTCCCCAAAAGAGGAATATGAGTTGGGATAAAATTTGGGGGCTGGAGGCTCAGAACAAAAAACCCTCCTGTATAACTATCATGAACTCAAATGGTCAAGACCTCTCACAGCATCTTTGTGTAATTAGATAAAAATGCCCTTTCGGGATTACATGTGCAACTCAGCTAAAAGACTGAATATTACACCATGTTCTCTGGGCACATGCAACCTTGTGACTACATGATGTGGTGAACAGGTGCCATCTCTTCCTCCAGGTCCTGGAAGACGCACAGCTTTGCAAGCAGAGCTAATGCTGATTTTCAGCTCCCACTTGCCTACAGGGATAACCATAAGCAGTAGTTCTGGGCTGTTGCTGTTTCTAATGTCAGTTCCTTCCACCGTTACCACCTTGTGACAAGGCATTTACATATCATGCTGGCAGGAAATTTGCTTTGAAGATCATAAACTAAGGGTCTCTTTATCACTCACCTAGTGATCCAAAAACAGACAAGGGTCTCCTTGCATCAGGCAGGAAGGCAGCCCAGAAGCCATTGGGCTATCACCCCAACATGCCCCACCAAATACCAAAGCCATAGCCCTGGTCTCCCTTACCCAGCTCCACACACACACGACCAAACAGCATCTCACCTGAGCCACCTCTTCAAAGTCATCATGCCTCTTCTGCAGGGCCCGGGCTCGATGCAGGGACTTCCCAACCCCGGTGTGTTTGCTGAGAAAGGCCTCACCATGGTTTTCAATCCAATCCAACACCTGGTCAGAGAAGGAAGACAGAAGGAAAAACCTGAGACTACATGTGCTACCACAAGAGTCCTACAGTTCCCATCCCAATCGGAAAGCAGCAGTCCAGCCGGAAATGTTCAATCCACTGTCCATCCAGGGGTTTCATTGCTGTCATTAGCAATGTAACAGTCCCACCCTTCACTAAATTCAACTTATCTTTCGTGTCCAGAATATTCCCTCATTACTCTTTCTGTTTTCCCAGGTTTAATTAGTTCATTATTTTAAATAAGCTACACAGACTATCAGGCACGGTTTAAACCTCTTACTACCTTTACTCCAACCACATAAATTCAGGAATGCTGGCAGGAAATTAGGCAGCATCAGGTCAGGGCAGTTCCCTGGCCCTCATGGCTTACTCCTCCCCTACTGCACCGTAACAATGCTCACAGCAGAGGCAACTAGTCATGGGAACCCTGCCTCCTCGGGCTTCTGGGACTCCCTTCCTAATCTTGAGAGTAAAGTCTGTACTGGTTAGACCCCACCTGGCTGCTCCAGATAGTGATCACTAGGAAAACTGTCCTTTCAGTCTTCTTTCCAGCCCTGTCTTCCAACCAGCACTGACCAACTAATAGTTAACAAATAGATAATTTAAGGTCTTTGCATCCTAAGGCCTGTAGTATCTATGATTCTCTGCCAGGAAGCAGTGGAGACCCCGTGTATTTCTAGGCTCAAGATCTAGTGATTTGGCCTCAGGACATTTTCCTTGGTATTGAGAGAAACTGGAGAAGTAGAGGGACAAGGGAGGGGATGCTGAGAAGGTGAGAAAATATGTTGTCCTGGGGAACACTGGACAGGAGGAGTAGAAACCCCTTAGCAGGAGC